GGGCTGGATAGGACCGCAGTGCCCCAGCAAGGCAGGACCTGGTGCCCCAGTTAGGCAGGGCAGGAGCCTGGGATGCAGCTGGGCCAGGCAGGCTCCAATGCCCCGCTGGGCAGGGCAGGACCCCAGCCCCCCTGTCGTATCCCAACGACAGGCACTCCTTCCTCCTGCCCGCTGGGTGCCCCGCAGCCCTGTGCCCCTGCTGCTAGGCATCCCCACTCTCCTGGGGGCATGGGCGCCTTGCCCTGCTCTGCCATAGTCCAGCAAGTACCCAGGCTGCAGGGTGGCTGAGCACCCGGGGTGGGCCCCAGGCCCCAGGGTGCAGCAGAATGGGCACAGCGAGGCCAGGAAGCCTCAGCTGGAAGAACTGCAGCCCCATTACAAAAACCAAGCGGAGGGACCAACATTTGCAGGCCAGGCTGTGAGCCTGAGCCAGCACAGGCTGCGGGAGGCCCCCTCGGCTGAGAAAATATTTGAATAGTCGAAGAGGTGAAAGGTGACCCACAGCCAAATGGGTTGCACTCTGCCCGTGTCTATTAATTGGTAGCTAATAACATTTAATATTAATTCTGGGAGACATCACTCTAGTTTGCAAATGAATGAGAATAAGGCCAAAAATTAGCTCCCAGCTAATTTTTCCAGCTCCCAAGTGTGTAACATGGCAAAGCAGCAAGTCAGTGGCTGACATGGCAGCAAAAACCTCACAGAGCATCACTATCTTTACCCCTTGCAATCCCCCCCCTCCGCCAAGATGTTTCAGGTTGTCATGCTTGAGCTGGGGAGACACCATGCCTGCTAGTGCTGTGGTCTCTCCACATGGCCAGGATGGTACTGTTTGATGCTGGCAAGCAGCAGGCTGGCACGTGCCTGGCAAGGCCTGGTCAGCCCGCTGCCGAAAATCGAGGCTTTCTCCAGCTGTAGGAGCAGCTGTGCCAGGCCAGGCTGGTCCCTGCAGTCAGGGAGTGAGCCGGCACATCTGGCACAGTGGAGTGGCCGTGCCCTCTGGTGGCCATGGGCCGGGCCATGCTGGAGAGTGTGGTGTGCTCTGCAGCCAGTGAGGAGCAGTTGTGACCTGGTTAAAACCCCAAATAGGGTCTGGGCTGTACACGGCATGTCCCATTCACCCCCAAATCCCCCTCCCCGGGATCGAGGGCACAGCTAGGATGAAGGTCACGCCTGCGGAGGCTGTGGCTACCAGCGCAGTGCCCCATCCCACTGCTCCAGGGCTGGACCGGGAGCTGCAAGTGACTGGCATCATGCCAGGGCCTGGGTGGTGCCCAGCACCCATGGTAACAAGCTCTGGTGTGTCCCAAACAGAGCCACCTACAGCCATGGGCACACACAGCCACCTCACTTGCCTCTTTCTCCTCCTCACCTTCCAAGCCCCAGGTAGGCACCTCCTGGCCACGAGGCTCCAGTGTCTGGGCTGAAGGCACCCCCTTGCCACACCCTGGGTGGGGGAGGGGGACGGGGAGTCAGGGTCCTCCCAGCTGGCCCTTTTTACCCGAATGGGTACAGGGTGGGTGGCAGCTGCCCGGCAGGGCTCACGTGGGATAGGGGAGCATCACCAGGGCAATGCTGGGCTATCCCTGGGGCCTTACCAGGCATCCCCAGGGCATTTCCAGATTATCACTGGGTTATCTCTGGGGCATCACCAGGCTTTGCTAGGGCATCTCTGGGGCTTCACTAGGGCATCTCTGGGCATCGCCATGGCATCTCCAGAGCATAACTGGGGCTTCTGGGTCATCTCTGGCATATGGTGGTGACACTGTCTCCTCCTTTTTCTAGGGACTTTTGTTAGAGCTGCAGGTAAGAGCAGGGTGCCCTGGGCACCGCCGTGTCTCCTGCATGGGGGCCATGGTACAGGGACAGGGGCTCCCTAAAACTGGACCTGAGCCTGGTCCCTGGGCATCTGCCCCTGCCAGCCCTGCTTGGCCTGCCACGCATTGTCACCGTGAGTGAGGATGTGGTGCCAGGCACCCTCGTGGCCAAGGTGAGCCTGGCCTGCAGCAATGCTAGCAGCAACCCCAGGGTCACGCTGGCCCGCGTCGAGCCCGGCAGTCCCTTCGATCCCAATGTCACCCTGCGCAGCGTTGAGCCTGGTGATCCCTTCAACCCCATTGCCATCAGCACCAACCACACACCCGCCTCCACATTTCAGGCTGAGGTACAGCCGGGTGGCCATGGGTCAGGCCAGCTGAGGGAAGGGAGTTTGGTTGGGACGCCCATGGGTAGTGCATGCCCTGCTGAGCACCGTGCTGCTGTGGCAGATCACACTGCGTGCTGGTGCAGCACTGGACGCCCATCGGGTGAACCACTACATGCTGACACTGCGGGCTGCCTGCCACGGGGAGGCTGAGGCTGAAGGGCAACTCTTCATCAGGGTGATGGTGGCACAGGTGCTCCACTGTGCTGCCAGGTTTGCCAGCGCAGGTAATGGTCAGTGGTGGTGGGATGGGGCACCCGGTGCTGGAGGGGTAGGGTGCAGCCAAGCGGGTGGGCAGCTCTGGGCCACCCCAGCTCACGCTAGGCTCCTCTTGGTATGCATGCTGTGCTGCAGAAGGAGACGTGGTGCAGGTCCCAGCAGATGTGGCGCCCCAGACACCATTATACACTGTGGTGCTGCCCCAGCCGGCCAGTGAGCTGACAGTGAGTCGTGGATGCAGAGGGGTCCTGCAGCCCCCCAGTGAGAGGGGATGGCTTGGGGGACCGCAGCCTCCTGCCCTCTGTCAGCCTTTGGGGATGGCTGGGGAGAAGGGGGAGGTGGGATGCTGCCAAGGACATGGGGGATGGGAGGTTTCTGCTCTTCCCTTTGTGCCTGCCTCCCTGCAGTTCTACCTTAAAAACAATGACACACCGCTTGTCCTCACTGAATGGGGAACCGTGCTGGCACCTGCCAATGGCTTTGACCTCGGACACAACACCCAGGTGAGTGCCAAGGTCCCCCAGTCTTGGTATCGTTCTGGTATTGCCCTTCTCCTGGCCTGGCTGAGATTAGCCCCTTGCTGGCCCTGCCCACGGCTCTCAGCATCCTGTCCCTCACCAGATGGGCACCCAGCTCCTTCCAATCCCCATCCCCCACTCTGTCCTCATCCCCATCCTGTTTCCACTTTCATCCCCATCTCTATTCCTGTCCCTGTCCTCATCGTCATCGCTTCCATCCTTGTCTCCATCTGTTCCCATCTCCATTTCTGTTCCCATCCCTGGGAATTCCCATCCCTTCCCCATCTCTGTCCTTGTCTCCATCTTCATCCACATTCCTTTTTCCACCTCCATCCCTATTCCTGTACCCATCCCCATCCTTGTCTCCATATCCATCCTCATCCCATCCCCATCCCCGTCTCTGTTCCTGTCTCTACCTCTATCCCCATCCTCATCCCTGTCCCTATCCCCATCTCTGTCCCAATCCCTGTCTCCGTCCATATTCCCATCCCCTGTCCCCATTCCCATCCTCATCCTTGTCCCTAGCATCATCCTTGTCCCACAGACCTGGGGCTACTGTTGGCAGGCAGATGGCCCTTACTCCTGGCTGTCCCTCTGGCCTCTCACCTCAGTGTTGCCTGCAGGTGTTCAGGCTGGAGATTTTAGTGATGGACCGGGATGGGCACAACTGCAGCGGGGCGGTGACAGTGGAGGTGCTGCCATCGCACCCTCCTCAGGTCAACTTCACGTGAGTGGGACCAGGGCCAGGGCTGGGCTCGGGGGACTCATGCCATGCCATACCACATGCTTGTGCCCACAGCGAGCCATGGCAGGCTGTGACAGTGCTGGAGGGCACTGGCCCCTTGGAGGTGGTTACACAGGTCCATGCCAGTGGTGATAAGGTCCGCTATGTCATCCTTGCTCCATCGGCACCGGCGCTCTTCACTGTTGATGCAGGTGAGCAGGGCCTGCAGGGACATCCCTAATATCTTGGCAGCCTGTCCCCACCTGGGCCACCCCAGCCCAGCGTGAGGCTCCCTCTGTGCCCTGCAGTGACTGGTGAGATCCGCAGTGCCTGCCAGCTAGACCTGGAGCGCTTCCCGCAGGCGGCCCACACCCAGCTGCTCGTCCAAGCTTATGACATGCTGCACCCCACAGACCGTGCCACTATGACACTCAACATCACTGTGCAGAGGACGAACCAGCGGGGGCCACGCTGCACCCCAGACCTCTATGTGTATGGGCTGCAGGGCTTGGTGCCATGTGGGGAGTCATGGGGTCCCAGCACCGCGCAGGGAGATGGTCATGGGGCTGCTGCTGGAGGTCACATGGCAGTGGTGGGGACAGTTCCTTCCTCCTTTCCTGTGGATGCCTTGTGCTGAGGGACCGTGGCACCCTGGGACATAGTGGGAGAGGAGCTGAGCCCTGCTGCCTGCCTTTCTGCAGGTCCCAGGTGCCTGAGACGGTGCCACCTGGCAGGACCCTGGTGACGTTGAGGTGCACTGACCCCACTAGCACTAGCGGTTCTCTGCACTATGCCGTCGAGAGTGCCCCAGCCTCACGCTCCCTCTTCCGCATGGAGGGGCCACAGCTGCAGGTCAGTAGGGCCAGGACAGAGCAAGGCTGTGGGCATCATTCACGTGGCTGGTGAGCCCAGGGGGGCAAGCACTGGATGGGAATTGAGCAGGATGATGGTGTCCAGCTGCCTGCTATGTGCCCGTCATGGCAGGCCTGGAGCTGGGGGTGGGGGGGGTGCTCCGTGAGGTGCTCTGCTCCTCTAGTCCCACAAGTTCCTTGCCCCTGCTTCCTTGGCATGGCAGCAGCTCCACAGGACACCCTATGTCTGCAAGCATCACAGCTCTGTGGGCATCCCAGCTATACGAGCACCTTGGGTCTGTGCGACACCCTGGCTCTGTGGACACCCTGGCCCAGTGGGACCCCTCAGCTCTGCAAGCACCCCAGCTCTGAGAACACCCCAACCCTACAGGGCATTCCGGCTCTGTGGGACAGCCTCAGCTCTGCAGGCCACCCTGGCTCTGTGGGGCACCCCTGGGTGGGGCACCCTCAGTTCTGCTGGCCACCCTGTCTCTGCTGGCACCTCCAGGTCTGTGGGATACCCTTGCTCTTTGCACACCTCAACTCTGTAAGCACCATAGCTCTGCAGGCACCCCGGCTCTGCAGGACACTCCAGTTCTGTGGCCACCCAGCTCTGCCTGACCTCCTTTGTCTGGACTTAGCAGGTCAACACCACCCTGGACTATGACTCCGAGGCTGCAGCCGCCGTGGGCTTCCAGTTCGCAGCTACCATTGTAGTGACGACGGGAAGTCAGCCTCCACGGAGCAGTGAGTGCTGTGTGCCCACTGCATGTACATCCCTCTGCCCACACCCCACCGTCCCATGGCCCCTGGGAGCTTGCATACAGACTGATGGGGGCTGGATGGACAATAGATTGAGGTGGAAAAAGCCTCTTCTGGACCCCAAAAACCCTGGGCTGCAGGATGGAGTTTCTCTCTGGCTGCCCCAGAGATGCCCACCTCAAGGGCATGGGCAGTGCCACTGTCCTTGGTGTCCCCAGACCTGTCCCCAGCAGGGCATGCCTAGCCCAATGCTGGCACAGGATGTGGGGTGGCACTGGCACAACTGAGCCACTATGTGTGTCACGCAGCCCATGTGCCTGTGCTTGTGACGGTGACGCCTGTGAATGAATACACACCAGCATGCCCCAATGCAACAGCCTTCACAGTGCCGGAGACTGCAGCTTTCGGCACTGCTGTGGGGCGCATTGCTGGCACCGACCGCGACTACCCACCAGACAGCATCAAGTACAGTCTCGAAGGGGGCCTGGGCTCTGCCCAACCCTTCTCCATCGATGCACATACTGGTGAGTGCTTGGGCCCCCTTGCTTTTGCCAGGCTGGGCTCACCCACTCCCATGGGTGCCCAGCAGCTTGGCACTGCCCTGGCAGGCAAGATCTATGTGGTGGGGCCCCTGGACTATGAGCGGCAGAAGAGCTACAGGTTGACAGTGAGGCTAACGGACACCCACAACGATCTGGACCCGGCAAACCAGCGGAGCTGCCTGTGTGATGTGGCCGTGCACCTGCAGGTGCGGGCATGCTGCTGCAGTCGCAACACCACGCGCCCTTGGCTGCCCCGTGAGCTAGTTCCTGGGAGGCTGCGACCGGTCCTGGGGAGGGTTTGATGCTGGATTTCTGGGTGGTGCTTCTCAGCACTGCAGTTGAGATGCACTAGTGAGGTGCTGGGGAGCTGGGCAAGGCAAAGCTGTGCCACCTCTGTTCCTGGCAGGCCATGCTCAACAAGGCGCCGGAGTGCACCCCTGAGGTGCAGGAACTGCGGATCACATCCAAGCCAGCCACCCGCCAGCCTATCACCCGCCTAGCATGCCAGGGCAGCCGTGGTGGTGCCACACTGTCCTATGCCATCATCAGAGGTGAGGAGCGGCTGATCTGCTGCATAGCCCAGCCTCTCACTGTGGCCTGGGCCCTCAGCAGACCCTCTTGTCCAGGCAATGAGGACAGGCATTTTCGGCTGGAGGGGAACACCCTTTTCCATGTCCCCAATGGCCTTGCCGAGCCCCGAACCTTTGTGCTGCTGGTGGAGGTGTGGGGCAGCCCTAGTGTCCCCCGCCGCAGCACCACAGTGATGCTGATGGTGCATGTCATCCCCCGGACCACCATGGTGCCGCCCAGGACCACTGCCCAACACACGGTAAGTGGAGCCCTCCACCATGAAACGAGCTGAGGTTTTGGCCCAACCCATGTAGCCGGCATCCCTGTGGCCAGGCAGTCCACCCTTCTTACCCTGGCCCCAGGGATGGCCACCCGCAGCCCCGCAATGTGCTCCCCTCACTGCTGCGTTTGCAGACACTGTGGAAGGAGCCACTGGTCATCACACGGACAGAGGCGACCTGGAACCCGCCAGCCTGGTTTGTGGCAGCATTGACTGTCTCTGGTGCCCTGCTCCTGGCTGCCCTGGGTTGCATGGCCCGGACTCTGCTGCAGAGGTGAGCCTTGGCCTGCCAGCGCCATTGCCCTGCTGGCTCATGGCATGGCACAGCCCGTGGTGCTGCCAAAGTGCTCCTGGCAAGCGAGGTCAGGGGCTGCAGCCCTTGCCCCACTCGTCCACCCAGGGAGAAGGGCTCATGGCTGCTCTCTGCTCCTCATTGCAGTACCCGACACCACAGCAAGCTGCTCCTGGGTGATAGGTAGGTGCCCACATGGGTCTAGGGTGACATCTGACTTGGTGGCAAAGGTCAGCAGTGGATGCTGGTTGCCTTAGCTTCAGCAAGATTCTTGGCATGGGCTCCCATAGCACCCTTCCTTGCAGCCAGATGGGGAGATACAGCACGTCTCAGTGATGGTTATTTAATGTTTTGCATTTGCTCTGGTTTGGATTTGGGAGGCTGCTCCAAGGAGCAGTCCTGCCCAAGGGTGAGGTCTGGAACTGATGTGGTCCCTGCCTAATGGGGAAATGGGTGCAGGGACAGCAATTTCACTGGGGGACAGCCATGTACTTGGCTGGGTTGGGGGCAGAAACTGCTCCAGCCAGCATAGGATGGCACAACAGTTGGCATCACTTCATCTAAGGACTCCGTGCCAGCACTGGCTGGAGAAAGGGCCCTGGCACAGAGGCCTGGCACCATGGCCTCTGGAGGCAGGGTTGAGGCAGACCCTGGAGGCAGGCTGGATTCACCAGGGAAGCTGCTCCAGGAGGAGGTGAGCAGGCTTTGTGCTGTCAGGGAGGATGAAGAGGACTGGGATGCTGCAGATAGGAGAGCCCAAGTCCCATGAAGGAGAGATGGCTTGAGGTTCTGCTCAACTGAGCAATTGATGGAGAACCCCCCCCAGGACAGGGAACCCTACAAACACGTGGTTGCAGGAGGAAGGCTCCATCCTTGCCTGTGGGTCACAGGCACAGCCTGGGGATGGGACAAGACCCAGCAGGGAAGGATATATCAGAAGACCAGCTTGGCTACACTGGGAATTTGTACAGGAGAGGGAAGCAGGGTCAGGCATCGAAGTAGGGATTTAGAAACACTGCCCAGGCCTATAGGTGTAGTGATAGTGACACAGACATGGCTGAGTTTCAGTGCCTTTTTGGCCTTGGTTCGCTGGCAAAATCTTCCAGGCCTCTGTGATTAGAAGCAGGGTTCAAGGAGGAGAGAATGACCAGCAGTGGATGAGGACTGAATCAGGGCTTACTGGAGAGAACTTGGCCCATGTGAGTCCATGGGACCCAATGGGCTGCACCCAAGGGCACTGAGAGTCAGCCCGTGTTGTAGCAAGGCTGCTCTCGGTCATTTTTAAAAGGCCATGATGGTGTTCAGGGGAACAAGGTCCCCAACACAGTCTCCCATTGTGCCCTCAGAGCCAAACTGGGGAGATACAAGCTGGATAAGTGGACAATCAGGTAGGAGAAAAATTGGCTGGCCTATTGGGCTTGACAGGGTGCGATCAGCAGTACAAGGCCTGGCTGGTGGCCCGTTCCTAGCAGCATCTCCCAGGGATAGATGCTGGGACTATTGGGACTGTTCAGCAACTTGCTAATGCCCTGATGAAGTGCTCCAATGCTCTCAGCCAGCCTGTGGGTGACAGCGCCAAGGCTGGAGGCCCCTGGCTCATCCTGTCTTCCCATCTGCAGCTCCTGGCACTCGGCAGAGTGGAGGGCTGGAGCCCTGCAGAGGGGGAAAGAGGAGCAGGGCCACCCTGACACTGGCAGCCTGGTATGTGCCAGCACCCTCGATACTGTACTGTGGCAGTGAGGGTGTGCACCCTGCTGGAGGGGTGCAGGATGGCACCCTTGGCCCTCAGCACCCTCTCCATGCTCTTGCACAGGTGCAGTTTGATGGCCGTGCCCGGGACCCACGTGAGTGCACTCCCCTCACCTAACACCCACTGCCTCTAGCAGCAGAAGGGGGCCACCCTGTCACCGCCCTGCAGCCCCCTGGGCAGCCATGGTTTTCCTCAGGGCAGTGGCTTGGAGCAGGGTTTGGGGCATAGGAGAGATGGGTGCTGGATGGTGATGGCTGGGCAGAGCCCCGCGCTGTGATGGTTGAGTGCTGCATCCCCTCTCCAGGCACGGGCAGGGACTATCTCTTCAACAGCGTCACGGGGATGCGTCGCTGGATCTGAGCAGACAGGGGGCCCAAAATCGGCATGGGGCCCAGCTAGAGAGTACCCCCAACTCCCCACGGGGTCTACCAAACACAGCACCAAGGGCCTGGAGAGAAACCCTGCATCCTGCATCCCTGGAGAGTGAAGGGGTTCCTTGCTGCCCAAGGAGCTTATCCAGCAAGCTGCACCAGCCAGCACAGATCCAATAAATAGGGGCACAACTTGCATTCTGCTGTCGTGACTGCTATAAAGAGTTATTGTGGCTGAGCAGCCCCCCCCGCAGTCCCTCTGGTGACTGGCCTGTTAGTCCAGCAGTGGCAGTCACTAGCATGTTCTCCCATCAGGGGCCCCAGGTGGAACAACCCAGGGGCCAGGCTCATGGTTACGGCTGGCACCAGGTGCTTGGCAGGGGCCAGCACCATGGAAAATGTGCTGAATGCCTTGGTGAGATCTGCTCTGGTTGTAGCAGTGTGCAAGCAACATTTCAGTGGCCTTTGGCTGTGATTCAGTGGGGGGGGGAGGTGAGAGTAGGCAGTCCTCCACAGAGAGGTGCTTTGGAGCAATTTGTAATTTTCAGAAACTTTTGCCCAAACTCGCGATGATCCCATTTCCGGCAACAGGGCTGAGGGACACTAGCTTTGCAATGCCGTCCACCCAGGACTGTGCCCAGCATTTGGCAGTTTTTGAGGGTGAGCCCAGGATGAGAGGGACCACTGTCTGGGCCTCTGAAGTAGGGGAAAGTGTGGCTGTGTTTGGGGCTGAGAGTTCAGGAGGAATTGAGAGCAATTAATGTCCTGAAAGCAGGTCTGCAGCTCCCCATCAGTGCCATGCCAGGCCCCACTGTGCCCCATGCGCCTCATGTGCCCCCTGAGATCTCCCTCGCTGTGAGCCTCTGGGTTCAGCTGCTCCAGGAACAAATGGGTGGGCAGAGCAGCTCTCAGGTGGAGGGCATGGGTTTCCTAATTGTGACCAAGAGTGGAATTAGTGCGTGCGCAGGTAAATGTGACATTCTGTGGAAGAGTTAACAGGGCCTCGCAAACACACTGGTGCTCTTTGAAGGAGTCAATAAACACACGGAGAAGGGAAACAGCCAGACCTACAGGCTATTTGAATTTCAAAGAAGCGTTCGACAGGATGTCTCCCCATCACCTCTTAGAGAAATGAAGTGCTTGGCAGGGTAAGAGGAAACAAAATTAAATTGGGGAATCATTGTCTAAAAGGGAGGAAGCAGGAGCAAACAGTCACATTTCACAGCAGAGAGGGGTCACAAGTGGAGCCCCACAGGACTCCGTGGTGAAGCCAGGCCACCCAGAGCTAACCTGGGCAAGGCAGCGACAGCCTTGCTGGGGACATAGTGTTTCAGAGTGGTAAAGACAAGAACTGCACTGCACGCATAGCACTGTAGGAGGCTCTTAGGACACCGAGTGGCTGGGTGAGGAAACAAGAAAGTCAGTGCAGATAAATGTAAAATGATTAAGGTAAGGGTCAACAAAGTTTAGTTTTATACAGAAAATGATGACATTTGAACCATTACCAGTCAGGAATGAAACCTTTTATTATACGGGATTGATCTACGAAAATATTTTGTTCACAGCAGTCAAAGAAGCAAACAGTGGTAGCAGCAGTACACGCCAGGCAGCACAGCTGCGTTATTTTACTCAGAGCTGGCCATCACGGGGGCAGGAAGGAGGTCCAGGGACGGAGGCGACCCCGGTGAGGAAGGCTATGCCAGCAGCTCTCTGGTTATGGCCCCCAGGCAGGGCAGGAGCCAGACAAGCCAGCCGGTGCCGGGCGCCACGAGGAGGATCAGAGGGGCGCTGCGAAGGGCCGCCGGGCGCCCGCGCAGCTGCGGGCCCCGTGGCTGTGAGGAACGGCAGGGAGCGAGCTGG